CCTATGCAACAAGGATGTTGAAATAGTTTTAAATGAAATTTGGGAGTGTTATCTCTGCCTGTTTACAAAGCTTAATGTAAATTATATAAACAAAACGAGAGATTTTTAGTTTTGTCTGACGTAAGTTATCACAGTGAGTTGAGACAATATTTAAAAGGAAGAAAGATTGCCGTTGCGGCTCACATCTGTAATTCCAGCACTGAAAAGCTGAGGCAAGAGAATTATTTAGGCTCAGCCTGGGGTTAAATAGCAAGAATCTGTTTCAAAAAAAAACCCAATAAATAGCAGCACTAGTAAAAGTGGAACTTTGGTTTCATTATGTGCACATCTTCCATCTCCAGTGATATTTCTTTTTTTTTAATTTTAATTTATTTATTTATGTGTGTGTGTGTGTGTGTGGCCAGCTCAGCCCACCAGGGGGCGGGGCTGGCTGGCATGTGGTGCTGGGGGATTGAATCCCCATCCCTGTGCTTTGCCAAGCTTGTTCTAAATAGGTGCTTTAGACCACTGAGCCATCTTATCAGCCCTCTTTTTCTTTTATGTGCAGGATCTTACTACATTTTTTTTTTTTTTAACTCGGACCCTTGCGCTTGCCAGTCTACATTTTTTTTTAATGATATCTTTATTTGTTTAATTATTTATGTGCAGGGTCTCACTACACAGCTCAGACTCATAGCGATCCTCCTGATTTCTGCCTCCCTAGTGCTGGGATTGCTGGGATTACAGGCGTGCGCCACCACGCCTGGACTCCATAGCCTGCACCCAGGGGCGGGGCCTGTTTGGCATGTGGGGCCAGGGATAAGTTTTTCTTTTCCTTTGTAGATTTTTTTTTTCTTTTTGAGACAAGGTCTTTGTAGGGCAGGCTGGCCTTGAATTCACTATGTAGTCCAGGCTGCTCCTGATCTCCTGGTGATCCTCCCGCCTCAGGCTCCTGAGTGCTAAGATCATAGGCATATACAGCATGCCCAGTTTTCCTTTTCTTTTTGTCTTTTTGAGATAGGTTTCACTATGCAGTTCAGGGTGGCCCTGAACTCACTTTGTAGCCCAAGGTGATCTTGAACTCGTAATGATCCTCCTGTCTCAGCCTCCCAAGTGCTGGGATTACAGACCTGCACCATTACATCCAACCCTCCTTTTCTTTTTACTTTTTTTTTTTGCGGAACCAGGGATTGAACTCAGGCCCTTGCGCTTTTCAGGGAAGCACTTATTCCACCGAGCCATCTCCCTGGCCCAAAAAGGCAGAAGGTTTTTGTTTGTTTGTTTATTTTTTTGTTTGTTTGGGGTTTTTTTGTTTTTTTTTTTTTTGTTTTTTTCTCTGAATGCCTTCAGTGTATGATTGGCTGGTTTGAGTTGTGGGTATCAACCACAACAACCTGAGCCTGACTGCTTTGTTGAAGCAGCCACTTAAAGAACTGAGCTAAGGGGCAAGCCCCCATCCCTTTCTTTTTAAAGTTGTTGGGTTTTTTTTTAATGTATTTAGTACAGGGTCTACAGGTTCTCACTACACAGATTGGACTCATAGGGATCCTCCTGTTTTTATAGCCACCCAAGCGCTGGGACTACAGGTGTGCTACCATACCCATTCTCAGTCGCTGACTCAGCCTGCCCTGGGAGCAGGGTCGGCACACCATACTAGGGATTGAACCCTGGTCTTTGCACCTGCCTAAGCAGGCGCTACTTTAGTCCACTGAGCTATCTAACCAAGCCTTTAAAAGTTTTTAATAACTTTTTCAAACTGGCCCCCTAAAAGTTTTTATTAATATTTAAAGTTGAGGGGGGCTGGTGAGATGGCTCAGTGGTCTAAAGCACCTACTTAGAACAAGCTTAGCAAAGCACAGGGATGGCGGTTCAATCCCCCAGCACCACATGCCAGCCAGCCCCGCCCCCTGGTGGGCTGAGCTGGCCACACACACAAAATGAATGAATAAATAAATAAGTAATTCTTAAAAAATTTTAAATAAAATAAAATAAAGTTGAGGGAGCCGGGGAGATGGCTCAGTAGAATAAATGCTTGCCTGGCAAGCACAAGGGCCGGAGTTCAATCCCAGTGCCTCAAAACAAACAAACAAAAACACAAACACAAACAAATAAACAAAAACAAACAAAAAAAACAAACAAACAAGGGCCTGAGTTCAATCCCCGGCCCTACCAAAAAAATAAATAAAAATAAAAAATAGGGCTGGAGAGATGGCTCAGTGGTCTAAAGCACCTACTTGGAACAAGCTTGGCAAAGCACAGGGACCGCGGTTCGATCCCCCAGCACCACATGCCA